TCCTTTATAATTTTTTTCAAAATAAAGGACGCCTTTTGTCCTTTATTTCTTAAACTGTCCTCTAAATCAGCTCTACATACATGGGTAAATTTTTAAACACAGAATATGAAAAATAAAAATGTCCCTTACAAAATATAATGAAAACCTTCGCCAGTTTGTTTCGCCCCTACCTAAGGGTTTATATATCTGTGTTCGTATGGAAAAGTAGCTTATGTCGAAAGGCCGGCTTTAGTATAATGCGGCATTCCCTTTATTTTTTAAACGACAAGGAATTTTTTGATCAGACTTAAAAAGAATATTGACTTGCTAGTATCGGAAATTTTTCTTGCACGTTTATTTGCTAAAAGTTGTTTAACGGCTTAGCGCCCGAAAGTCATTCGCAATCGTATGCTGCGAATGCCGATATATACTAAAGCCAGCCTTTCGACATAAGCTACTTTTCCATACGAACACAGATATAATCAGTAATCTTTGTACAAACTATAAAGGAGGATCGTGTTGCGCGCTGAGTTTCCAGTTCCATTGAAAGAAAACAATAAACCCCCTGCTGCACAGTGGTTCAAAACTGGCATCTAGTGTTCGTAATTCACTGGAGACTTCATTTTTCCCTTAATTTGATTAATTTTTATTATTTTTTTTATGAAAGATTACAATATTTGCTAGAGGCTAGTTGAGCCTGATGTGTGAATTTTTATTTGATTATATTAAATTTTTTAGTGCAAAATGCAAAAAAGTAGCAATTTTGAAGAAAATATATTCTCCTGTTCCAGTTAATAAATGTCACATAACAAAAACTAGTTGAAAACAGTTGTATGGTTACAAATTACAAAAAAATAAACTTTGAAATGTTATAAAAAATGTTAACAAAAATAACTATTTTTTTGGTTTTTAGTAAAAATTGGTTTAAAATGAAGGCTCCGGTGAATTGTGAACATTAAATTCCAATTTTGAACCACTGTGTGCTGGCTTTGTCGTGCAGTATGAATTATGGTAAACACATTTTGGTAGCAAAGGGTGACGAAGTCCTTAAAAAGGATTTGGCTTCATTTTTCGCCACAGCAGGGGAACTTGTACAATTAAATAATATAATTAACTGGTAAATATTTGATTTAAATTACGATATGGGTAGGGTAAAGTACTTTTATCATACAAGTTGTATGTACGTATTCCCAATCATTTTGAAAAAAATGTCCTTTATTTTACGTTACTTAATATGGTCACCGTATGTATAGTACATGTATCTGACTAAATAAATACATCTTCGAAAATAATTTCGTCTTTTCGAAAGTGGAAACTTTTCTACGATACTTTAAAAGTATATCTATGATTTTTCGAACATATTTTGCCACGCTCGCAGTATCCGTGATCATGCTCCAGTGCGGACGCTATCTTCGCTCTTGTGAGGTCCAAGACACAAGGTTCACCCGACTCTTCGTTATTATTTCCAACCTCGTATGCATCCAGGACAAAATGTAAGCCATCGTCATCGAATTTCAACCTTTGTAGCCACTTCGCCAAAGTAGACTCCGAGGGCAATGGAAACCCTTTCTTGTACAAATAAGCGTATGCCTTTGGCCCAGCCGTATGCAACGTCCATGCCCATCGGATGTCATTGTCCTCCCAATGTAAGTTTCTGTTAGGATACTCTACCTTTCTAATTTGATTCGGAGTGAAAATATTAGTAAGGTTGTCCCGCAAATCACACAGGCTTTTCATTTGTATTTTTAAAAGCGACACCTCAGCTTCTAGTTCCTTGATTCTGTTCTTAAGTGCTAAGTTGTCTAGATTGATGCTCTTTTCTATGTCAGCCCTGTAATAAAACTGTTTATTTTTAAAATCAAAAATGGTTTATGGAAAATATACCCTGTTTGTGTCCCAAAATCCCTTTTACCATCATAAATTATGGCAGGTTCATTCCAAGAGGATAAATAATCTACTTGCATAGGAACTGCAGATTCCGATAAACGCTTTCGTTGACTCTCTGGATCACCTTCAACATCTTTCGCATCAAAATGAAGCTGACAAACTTTTGCGCCATGAGACAATTCTCGGCCGCACGCTTCCGTCCATTTTTGCTTCTTTCCGTCTGCCTTTGGAA